GGCGGTGGTTTTGCCTGGGCGGGCTTGCGAGTCCCGGAGGTGGTTTTTTCAGATCTAGGGTTCATCTTGGGCTGTAGTTTCAAGGGGCTTTTTCCGGTGGGTGGCGTTTCGATGTTTGCTTGGTCGAGCGGGTGGTGGGGTTGAAGTCCGGTGGGGAGGGCGTTGTTATCTCTAGTGTTTTTGTGTTTTCTTGTTTTGTGTTGTTTTGTATTGTTGGTTAGTGTTTCTGTTTCGTCTTGTGGGACTTTTTCTTTCTCCTCTGTTGGGAGTTTGTAGGTTGTTCTAGTGTGGTGTGGTTTGTTTGTTGTTGGTAGGTAGGACTTCGACTACACTTTGTGTAGCTCTACCACCTAGATTCAGCTGGTTGGCTGGTTTCTCAGCGAATTTGTTGTTTTCTAGTTTGTATTTATATGTTTCTAACTATAGATTCTATCGTTTGAAAAAAAATAAAAAAATGTAACAGTTAACAATTTTTACGCTTTAATTGTAGAGAGAAAGATTAGCGATAATTATGTGGCATGTTTGGAAAATGAAAACCTTTACTTGCAATAGAGTTCGAATGGAATAAATTACCTAGCAAAATTGGTAGATAGAAAATATATTACGTGCGCATATGTACATTACCCTTTTTACTTTTTCAAAATTTTTCGGCCGGGCCGGGCTACACAGACCCATGGCCCGTTGGCAACCCGTCAATTTGGGTCGTTGGATCCTTTTGACCATTGGAGATCCAACGGCCATATTTTTTTTTAACTGATTCTAGTCAAGGTTCGTGTCCGGGTTCGACCCAGCCCGCCCAGAACCGACGGTCGGCCAATGGTTAATTTTTTAAATCTGATAATTGAATTATCTTGGTTATTGAGATCGAACGATCAAGATACGACTGACCCATTTGACCCGTTGTGCCGATCCAGAACCGATGGGTCCAATAATTTAAAAAAAAAAAAATCAAAAAAAAGAAACACAAAAAAATCCCAAAAATTCATATAAATATCCTCCCCCAACTCAGGGTTTTCACACCATTTGCAACGTTCTTCCTCTCTTCTCTACTCATTTCTAAGTTCTTGAAGTATTAATTTTTAATTCTTGTGTTTGGTTTGCTATAAGTCGGTCCTATTCTATATAACTTAGATCCTGAACTCCCAATCCTATATATTCACTTCATTTGTTTTTTTAACGACAATTATATTATTAACTAGAAAAGTTTTTTTTCTTTCCTTTTCTTTTTGGACGATAGGCTTTTATAAAAGAGAATAGAACACATATTTACATCTAGAACTCGGCCAGAAGCCGAATTTAGCCGGAGGACATCCCCTACGGGAGCCTAGACTACCACAACGTGCCCATGGTAATTCAAACTTACATCATAGATCCCTAAGGGATAATAAAACCCAGAGAAACACATAAAAAGAACGTACTACACACAAACACAACCTAAATACAATAAGCCAAAGCCCTTCCTACAGACGGAAAAACACACCCGACAAAACAAGGCAACAACATGCAAGCCCGATCACCTATACGGAACGGATCTAGCCCCTAGTTTTAGATCCAGAAACTGCAACACTCGCCTAACTAGAGCCATCACCAACGAGCTCGAACCCGCGGCCAGGTGACCGAACCCACCCCTTAGCCGAAGAAAAAAGATAAAAGCCCTAACACACCACCGCCACCACGAGCTCAACCCACACCAAGGGCCAGGCTCGTCATGCCGGCCATTCCCTCAACCCACGCACTAAGGGCAAAGGGACAAGAGGGAGAGCCCACTCTTGTAAACTTTTCCTATTTTAGGAGCTCGGCAATAGTTTCCAGAAATAGAAATTTATCTATTTTCGAGTTAATTGTTCAAGTGGTTCTTTGGTTTTATTATTGCGTGCATTAATTTTAATTAATAATTCCTATGTCTAAGACATGGAGTAACCATTCGAATTTTATTTCGGAAACGAAATAAAATTTTAAGTCTAAGTCTCGATTTATAACTTTAATCGAGTACTAAAAAAGTCAAAAATTTATTTAATTGCTGAGCCGAGCCATTTTATTTCACCCAATTAGGCCAATTAATTCAAGCCCAAATTAGTCGACCCATTTTTAATTCAGGCTAGTGATTTAGTTACCGAGCTAAACCCACACCAAGGGCCAGGCTCGTCATGCCGGCCATTCCCTCAACCCACGCACTAAGGGCAAAGGGACAAAGGGGGAGAGCCACTCTTGTAGCACCCCAAAATTTTCCTATTTTAGGAGCTCGACAATAGTTTCCGGAAATAGAAATTTTATCTATTTTCGGGTTAATAGTTCAAGTGGTGCTTTGGTTTTATTATTGCGCGCATTAATTTTGATTAATAATTCCTAAGTCTAAGCATGGAGTAATCGTTCGAATTTTATTTCGGAAACGAAATAAAATTTTAAGTCTAAGTCTTGATTTATAATTTTAATCGAGTATTAAAAAAGTCGGGAATTTATTTAATTTTCGAGTCGAGCCATTTTATTTTGCCCAAGTAGACCCAATTAATTCAAGCCCGAATTATTTGGCCCATTTTTAATTCAAGTTAAACCAGTTCCATTATTGCAAGTGCATCAGCATATAGTATGATACCATATGGGCATAGGATCTATCCTCCAATGAGAATGAGAATCCTAGTCAGAATTCTAGAAAGTTGAGCTAAGTCCAAACTCTAGACTAAATCAGAACTCTAGCCAAGCTAGGTGTTTTCGGCAATTCGTTAATAAATTTGTATAGTGTAGCTATTTCTTAATCGACTATACTGCTCTAATCAACTTGTAATTGGCTACCTACAATGCTGCCCCGCTGAGCTCCGAACCTACCCGTTGAGCGGGAACAGACCGTAGTCGTCGGCCAATTCCGGACTTTTGTACCTCTAGTCTTCACTGGACCGTAGGAGACTGGATTCACATGATGGAGCGAATCTTTCGAGTGATGGGATGCTCCGACCAGCATAAGGTCGTGTGCCGAGTTTCAGATTGACGACGCAGCCGGAGATTGGTGGGTCAACTACTAGCGTGTCAGGACGGAGGATGAGCATGACGAGCTGACATGGAATCGACTCAAGGAGATTCTGGAGGCCAAGTTTTAACCGCGTCATTTTCGCGAGAGGATGGAGCGGGAGTTCTATGCCCTTTAGTAGGGGGCCACTCGGTGGAGGAGTACGAGCGCAACTTCGCTCGTAGGAGCGCATTTGCTCGGCACCTCATTGACACTGAGGAGAAGAAGGCAACCCATTTCTGGAACGTCCTGCAGAGGGACATTCGGATTCTAGTGACCAACCATGGCTATTTGGATTACGCTTAGACCGTTGAGCGGGCTCAGCAGATTGAGGCATGCTAGCAGGTGGACGCACCTGCACAGCTAGCCATGCAGCCAGACGTTCCTCAGCTAGCAGCCCAGCAGCCCGCTTTACCGGCACCACCACTGCAGGTCCCTAGGCCCAACAAGAGGAAGTTCCACAGTCGCGATGGGAGGGACAGACAACGAGGATCAGCCCAGGCCCCATCTCAGAATGTCCAGCCGCTATAGCAAGTTCCGCCAGCCTGAAGACCGCGAGTCACGGACTGCGGGCCGCGAGTCGCGATTGATGGCCACAAGTCGCGACTTCAAGCTACCACTACCATGGAGTACTCTGAAGTTGGCCGCGAGTCGCAACTGACACCCGCGAGTCGCTGCAGCATGACTTAACCCTATGTTTTAGGCTCGTTTGGATCCGTACGAACTCGGTTTTGATTTTCTTTTTTCCTATGCGTAGCAAACGAAGCCTTATATCAGACCTACAAATGACTTATTGCATTTTGTTTTTAGTAACTGAGAGTGACCAACCAACTTGTGGTTGGCCTCGTATAGTTTTATCTTGCGAATGAGGAATCGAATTTGTGGTTGCCTGTTACGCTTTTGTAAGCCATAAACCGGTTGTTCGAACTATTTTTGATCTATATATTTACATTTAACGATCACAAAAAAGTTCTGCCAGCCTGCGCCACCTGTGGACGCCACCACCACGGGGAGTGTCAAGCCGGACGCGGAGTATGCTTTAAATGTCGAAGACCAGGACATAGGAGGGATGCATGCCCATACCTCGTTCAGCGTCAGACGCCCGCGATCCAGCAGGGACAGCAGAGAGGAGGACTAGCTCGTGCATACTCCATTGATTCGCCAGCATAGGAGGCGCGTCCGGAGGACATGCGAGAGGAGGCGTACTTTAGTTGCTGCAATTGTCGTTTTCTGCCATCATATTTATTCTCTGAAAACCTTGTTGAACCTTTGTGAATCCATATTTTGCGTATTCTGAGACTCTTGTTGTTGTTTCCTTTTCACTCATTCGAACTTGATTTGAAACCTTTTCGGTTTATCGATGTTATGAAAGTTTGTTATTGAAATCGTTGGGTAATTTCTCTTTGACATATTTGAACCCTCATTGCAATGGTCAGAAGTCGTCGAATGTCTTTCTTTGTATCGATCTAATTCATGTTATGAATAGCAAAATAGTTGCTATAATATAGCGTTGTTGTAGGGTAGTTGAGCGGGAAAAATTTAGAGGTGGGTAATTGTCTTGTACACAAGCCACGACTAGGACAGCCAAGGAGTGGCGAATTTACAGTGAAAGCATGGATATCGCAAAACCCACTACTCCCAGAATCGAAACCTGGAAACAAAAGAGGTGCCAATGGCTATCCTGAGCCGGCAGCACAAGTAAAATAGAGACCAAGGCTTAAAAGAAAATTATGTGAACTCTAGCAGTTAGGCTGATGCCCTAGAGTTTCCTGATCAATCAGTATGTATACTCATGATACGTCCTGAATAAAACCTTCATTTTAATTTTAAAACTATAGATGGTCGTTCACCAAGGAGCCATAGGAGGTGGGATTTAGGCCCCGAAAGCATCACCAGTAGGAAACTTCGGGAGTTTGACCAATTGACGTTCGACAAAGAGAAGACGGTAGGTGAAAACATACATGAGGTACTCAACCGGTGGGAAGAATTGATAAGGAGGAGGGAGAACGTCCTGACCCACTAGGAAGGGACTAAGAAGCTGATCGGCATACTGCCACAGAGGTAGAAGACGGAAGCAGGCAGAATCTACAGCAAGCTGTGGATGAGGAGCAAGGAAACCCCGCTGACCAGTGGGGTACCCTTGGTAAACATCTACGACTTCATGTTACAGATAGGAGGGCTTTGGGACAGGAAGGAAGGACATCTATACGCGGCCAGAGAGAGTCTGAGTGGAGACATATGGTACATAGGCCCAGCGGGGCAAGGAAGCAACTAAGTACCTATTTGTTCTTATCATTTAATCGTTGTAAATGATCTTAGTTTCGAGTTCTGTTTTGTTCAGTATTATTAAGTTCATACTTTTACATTATTCAGCATTTCCGAGGACGGAAATGTTTTATAAAGGATAGATTGTAGCTCCCCAAACTTTCCTATTTTAGGAGCTCGACAATAGTTTCCGAAAATAGACATTTTATCTATTTCCAGGTTGATTGTTCAAGTGGTGCTTTGATTTTATTATTGCGCGCATTAATTTTGAATAATAATTCCTAAGTCTAAGCCATGGAGTAATACTTCGAACTTTATTTCGGAAACGAAATAAAATATTAAGTCTATGTCTCGATTTATAATTTTAACCGAGTATTGAAAAAGTCTGGAATTTATTTAAATTTTGAGCCGAGCCATTTTATTCTGGCCCAAGAAGGACCAATTAATTCAAGCACAAATTACCCGGCCCATTTTTAATTCAAGCTAGTGATTTAATTACCGAGCTCAACTTATTCGGTCCAAGTAACGATTTTTATTTTTAGCCCGAGTCAAATAAATTTCCAAGCCCAAGTCAAAAACCCAAAATGAGACCAAACCCCTAGCTCTTCCTCCCTTCTATAAATACCACACTTAGCTCGTCCTCCCAACACCACCATTCATCATATCCTTCAAGTAAACCCTATATCTAAGAACAAACACCATCTCCTCCTCACCACCTTCAAAATCTGGCCACCCTCCGATCCTGGCGAGCCGCTGTCCCTCTGGCGACCAGAATTCATGCAAGCAACTCACCTCCACGTCGAGTCTTCCCGTCGGTCCTAGCTCCTCCACACACGGCAGCATCCACGCGCGAGCTCAACTCACCGTCCGTACAGGTCCGTTCACTGCACCATGCCTTCCGTCCCTGCTCGAGCCTATCTGCATGGCGACGTACCGCAGCGCCCGTACACCGACGAGCTTGCATGACCCCGTGTCCGTTCATGCCCATACGGCCTAGATCCGCTCCCGTGCGTCTTGTCTCGTACCGTTCAGCGTCCATACGCCTGGTTCCGCGAGCGACGCCATCCATCCAGCACAGACTCGAGCACGTTCTTACCACCGTACGCTCCAACAGCCACGCTCTTCCCGCGTCCGTACACCCACCATGACCGTACGCACGCGACATTACAGGCCCGAGCGCCAGCAAATCCGATCGGTTCACCACATATTCGAGCTGATCCGGCAGCCCGAGCATTTTCACTAGCCCCCATCTTCTTCCGATTTTTGTTTTCTATCGTTCGAGAGGTATAATGGCTGAAACTCTTTCTCTATGGTCTTAGGCAACAATTTTAGTTAATTATAAAAATGAGAAATGAGAAAGTTGAGCTAAATTCAAATTTATATGGATTTATTGATTTAAATGGCCAGAAATCCATATTAAATTGTGAGCTGATCCGAAAAATGTGATTCCAATTAGATAAATCCTAGTTTATGTCTTGAGGCAGGTCAAAATTTGGTAAATTTTGGAGTTCGTTTGATAGGCAAATGGATTTTGTGAATTTGGACTGCTAATGCCCATTTTTAGTTGACTGAGTATAGGTTGAATTTGGATGTGATATTTTGACTAAAAATCATGTATATGATGAGGATGTTGTGGTTTAAATTTGGTGATTTTTGGAGATCGTTTGATATAGGTTAAGATTCGGGACTTTAGCCGTGTGTTGCGATACTTAAGATATTAATCAGGTTGTGATTTACCTGCAGTTGTTGGACCTAAAATTCTTATAAATCACATAGAACTTAGGGTAAAAGTTTCAGAATAAAAATGAGTTAGGTGGATCGAAAAACGAGAACCCTAGTTTTATTCGTTTCCGAAGCCAGGAAATTTTTAGATTTGAGTTTAATCGAAACAACTCTAGACGGCGTAGGATTATAAATGAGTCCTTGAGTGTTGAGATGTGGTCGGTCAGCCGGTTAGCCGCCGACAGGACCATAATCGAGCCTAAAAAGGCTACTGAGGCCGTGTGCCTCGTAGCGAGTGGAATTATCCAACCGACGTACATTAGCACGTATCCTTAATGCGGATCGTCGTCCCACAAAAGTGTCGCATTCTCATCCAATTGTTGGAGCCGAGTCACCGAGTGCGTGCCCGTGCACCGAGTTCGACCGAGTCGCGCCCATGCGCTCTGTTCAACGCCCGTGCGTCCGACCGACCTACCGTCAGCGCGTCATTCTCCGTTAGCCGTGGTCCAAGCACGCCCCCTGCGTTAGTGACCGTGGAACCAATTAAATCCCGTGTGTCGGTAAAGCCGTGTCGGCCGTGTTCGTGCAGGCCCCGATTTGCCACGCCGAACTCGGACCACGGTTAAGCCGAGCTACACATAGTTAAGCGAATGATCGGCCGGCTCTGAGTGAGCCGTCGGTGCAGTCCATTCGAACCAGTCCAGATGGCTCGAAGAGAATCCAGTTCAACCGAATCAGTCCGGACGGTTCGGGAGTTCAGTTGAGAACATCGGTTTGAGCGTGAACCGAGAATCCAGTTTTTCCAAACCAAACAGATTAGATCCAGTCAAAATGTAGTCCAGATTTTGAAATATTTTGGAGAACTCTAGTATGCCTCAAAGACAATAATTCTTTCAAATCAGCTCTTAATTTTAAAATATGAGTTTTAAATGAGAATTTAAAATGTTTTCTTGCTAAGAACCCAAGCAATCGCATAATTGAGTTAAATCAGAGTAATATTAGAACCATTAATTTAAGTCCATTAGAGTACTTAGAACTTTGTGCTTAAAATATTTTTGTAGCTTCCGGAGAGTCGAGCTTCTGCCAGTTACGCCTTCCAGTTCCAGCACTTGCATAATCAGCCTATCAGGTGGGGACCCTGTACTGGGTATATCATTGTTATTATTATTATTATTATTATTATTATTATTATTATTATTATTATTATTATTATTTATCTATATTTGTTGTTATTATTATTATTATTATTATTATTATTTGAGTGCTAAATATTATTAAATGTCTAAAATAATTTATTTGCCAAAATTCAATTAAATGGCTAAATGTCTAAATGTTATCATTATTTAGATAAAATGTGTATTGGTATTCTTATTAATATTATTATTTTTAAAAATTAAATTGTGTGTATTAAAAATATAAATAATATCTGGCTTAATTATTTTATCGTGCGATTTAATTTTCGAGCCGAACGGATTTAATGTTGCGTTTAATCGAGCCCGAGAAAAACCGAGAACCTGAGTCACGCTTGTACTCGCCCCGAACCCATCGGCCCGACCCAAAACCGGCCCGCCCGTAAGAGTTTGAGTATTGTGCGTGTTTCTTGTGCTAAAGGAAACAGAACCCTAAGCCTCATATACTTCTCTCGCTCAATCATCCGAGATAAACAACGCGCAGCTTTCTCAAATCTGCTCATATTTTTTTCTCGCTGTTCCAACGTCGAACTTGCTCTGTTTTTCCGAGTTCCCGTCACAGCCCTCACCCTCGGCATACCAGCAATCGTCTCTCAAAATCCTCTCGGTTTTTCCCCGGAAGCAGCAACCGAAACCGCCCGTACGCCGAGCCGAACACCACAACCAGCAGGCTGACCCCACGCGAGAAGACCCAGCACCTTCGTTCAGTCCGTTCGTCGCCGAGAGCCCCGCTTTCCGGCGACCGGCCGCAAGAAGCCTAACGCAAGCACCCCGTCGTCGCACCTCGACTAAGCCTCGCTCGTGAACAGCCGTTCACGGGAACCGAGAACCACAACACTCGATTGTACCCGGAGCTTTCGCCGCCAGGAACCGGCAGAACAGTCGGTCGTGAGTTGCTCCACGATTTCTGTCCGACGACCACCTGTTGAAAGAATCCGAGAGCAGCCCCACTGCAGAGAACAACAACACCTGGTCGGGCCAAAATCCGTACGCGCGACAGCAGCCACGATCCGCCGCCGCTTCACCTCGCCGGCGTCTACGTAGCAGCGCACCGCACCAGCCCGATGGAACCGCCGTCAATTGACCGTCCGTCAGCCCCGGCAGTCGCCCAAGCCGCCGAATCGGACTTATGATCTGGAACCGAAAGGGATTTCGGAAATTCGAAATATTTGGTGGTTGTGTGTGAAGAAGAAGAAATTTGAGGAAGAATTCGATGGGGGTAATTGATTTTTATTTTTGGGAGATTACGAGAGCTGCAAATCGACGAGAGGGAGAAGAGGCCGATGAAGGAGATGGAGAAGGGGAAAGTGACGGGAAGAAATAAGGAGAGAGAAAGAAAAAGGGAAAAGAAAAGAAAAAGGAAAAAGGAAAATGGAAAATAAGAAATTTTGGGCTTTAGTTAAAATTTTTGGGCCTTAAGTGTGTGATGGGCCAAGTAATTTTATGGGCTGAAATTAGAAGGGAATAAATGGATTTAGCATTGGACATTGGAAGAAGCATTGACCGACTGCCAAGTGCACCGCGTCCAGTCCTAGTCCCGTTTCCTCGTCTCCCCGTTGGAGTACGGTGTTTGAGGATTCGAGCTCTCGACTCACCGATCTGTTTGTGTGACTTCTCTACCGAATCACCAGGTGGTTTGTTATTCTAAAATTGACTATGTCCTAAATGTTATATATGAATGTTAATTATTTGTGGTATGATCAAAGTATGCATTAGAATCATGTAGCCTTCATGTGAGCTGTACCGACCGTCGAACGATTATCCCCATAGCTATAGAACGTACCCGTTGGGTAATCTCCTTTGAGAATTTACTCCTACTGGCTTGGGCACCGATAGAAGCCCCAGGGGCATTCGGTATTTTACCCCGCAGTAGTCTATGCATAGGTGTGCACATGAGTCTTGATTTGATGACGATCTTATGACGATATTATGATGACAGGAGATTGGGATATTAAATTGATTCTTATTCATGCTGAGATCATACTGTTGATTTGTTTGAGTAATGTTTACTGCATAGTGGTGAGCACTATTTTTTCCGACTGTGCTCATCCCCACCTGAAATTCACGTTTCAGGTTAAGCGAGGCAGACACGATGGCGGAGTAGAGCGAGTGGTGGTTGGTCTATAAGACCGGTCTTATTATTTGTTATGCTTCCGCATTTATGAATTCTGGATTTTATGACCATGAACTTAGAGTATTGTTGCATTTATGAATTTTGGATTTTATGACTTGAATAATGTTAAGGAGATGCTCCTTAGAATTTATGAATATTATTGAAACCCGGTTTGGGTGATTTATGAATTTTGGAAAAACCCCGTTTTGGAGAGTTAGTAGTATTGTTGATGATTGAGTTTGATGTTTGAATGAGTGTCGAGAAATTGGTTAAGTATGGAAGTTCGTTTTGAAAATGGGTAGCGTCTCAGGTGTTTTGAAATAAATTTGAAAAATTTATTCTGATTTTCGGCAAATAAAAGTGGGGCGTTACAGGTAGTCTCACAGATCCGATTTATTTATATGTATGCTGATGTCATGATATGTTATTGTTTGTGATGTGTATTCTGTGCTGGTTTCTGCGGAGCATAGTGGTTTTGCTCACGTCCCCATTTTCATTTGTTTTAGGTGATGGGGTCCAGCGTGGAGCGTGAGCAGTCATGTGGCGGTGGTCAAAAGCTTGAGGACATTTTTGAAAAACTTTTATGTTATTATGAAGATGTTTGTAAACCTTGTTTCCGCTTACTTTTGACTTAAACAAGAATTATGTTACTTATGACTATGCATGCTAAGTTTTCCATGTCGCCTTTATTCTGGAATGGATAAGTATTTTAGTTGAATGTATGTGATCTAAGTTTCATAAAAAGTTCCGTAAGAATGTTTTAAAAGGTAGCATCCCGCAAGTTTTAAAGTGTTTTTCAGAAAAGTTAACGAGATGTTTTCGAAAATAAAAACAAAAATTTAACTTTGATTTTCATAATTCTAGAAGTAGATGGCAGGGTGTTACAACTCTCCTCGGCCCTAGCCACCACAACAAGGTCGTCGGAGCCACAACCCAACCCCTTAGAACCTCTGCGCCACGTGGCCTGGGAGATCGACGACCATCAGCCCAATAAAGCGACTACGAAAATCGGTAAAACCCTTACGGGCCCAGTCCCGGCATGAGAAGATCGGCATCGGTATCGAACAGGACGGAGTCACACAGCCATAGGGGTAGCCGCCGTTGAATGCCCAGCGGCCCGCTGAAGAAGGCGAAGAGGCATTCGAAAGTCTAGGGCAGAAGAAAAATGGATTAGGGGGAAATACACAGAGAAAAATGAAATAACTAAATAACTCAAAAGAGTACAATTGGGTTGTCAAATGACACCACCAGAAAGTTTAAACCTACCCCTTAGTAATACACAAGAGTCCAAGGGGGTACAAACTTCATCGAGGAGACAACCGCACACACAAAACGAAACTTCATAAAGGAGAGTGGAACTTTATAAGGGAGACTAAATACCATACGCCGCTGGACTTAACGAAAAAAACAAAGAAAGATAAGCAAGCAACTCACACCAAATATACAAAATAGAGTAAAATCTCCCCTAAACCTAGCCCCACGACTACCTAAACTGACTACGAGTCACACCCACAACAAAGAACACAAACCGTGTAACAAAGCTAGACATCAATCTCAAAAATTACGGCTATCCAAACCGCCTAGATGGATTTTCGATCCAGATCTGGACTCTGAAGAACTTCGATGCCGGGGAAGAGAAAAGAAGCAGCCAAGTACTCACTTCAGGACTCGAGACAAGGATTCAAGAAGACACCACCCAAAGGCACCCCACAGTCCGCGGCCCAGCCCGATAGACTAATTGCCTGGCGGGACAACCGACCATCATGGCTGAACGTGGCCAAGCACGAATATCCTTCAAAATACTGAACAGTGGTGCGCGAGACTAGACCAGAGAATCGACAGGCTTCTGTTGCTAGGGTTGGAAATGGTGGCCGACGACCCCTCTAGAGCCGCAATGATGGCCTAGGAGGTGAAATCCACCTTCGACCATGTCACCTGTAGGGCTCTTGAGAGGGAAGATAGATGGCTCCGAATAGCGAATCAGCCAAGGCTGGCCTGGTGGTCGCAGGGGACGGCCCGCCGAAAGAGGGGGGGGCGACGATTACTGTGGATGAGGATTTCTTGGTTTTGCCTTTTTTCGATAGAGAAAGGGCTATTTGTGGTTAAAATTGTAGAGAGGTCATATATTCACCCTCATTTCGGTTCTGATTCTATAAATATTTTATATAATACTCTCTCATTTCTAATTATATCATTTTTTACTCCCCTTTCTTACTTTATAAAATATATTCGAGTTATACAATGTTGAGTTCTCGTGGTGGTCGTGCCGATGATCGGCCACCACAAAAGCGTAAAATATAGGCCAATTTTCTTCGACTGGATCTCCATTATCAAAGCCGAGATAGATGGTATACCAAGACGTTCTGGGTCTTCCCGATGACGTTGAGCCCGAGATGGTCGAACGCTGTCAGTGAGCCCGACACGGTCCAACACATCTTTCACTCTATTGAAAAAATCCACGAGAGCTTACAGTTCGAGGATAACGAGGAGAACCAGGAGCAACTGTATGAAAACGATTTTGATCCTGCTCAAGGTGGAGGAAATCAACAACCTCAATGAACTCGGGCGGCCGACGATGGCGATAGGGGTCAAGCTTAAGGGATAAATATTTTATATGTATTTGCAACTATTGTCCGCCCAACTCCAAGAATAAGTACGCTTTCAAAACCGACGATGGGTATGAAATGTTGCAACGGTACATACGATCACATCATCCAGACGAAATGGGGATTCCCACGTGCCTAGACATGTCGCGGCGCGACAGACCTCGTGTCGTGACACCTTGAAATATACTTTATGATCCTGGACATGGTTTTTGCCTGGCTTTTGGATTCCTTTTTATTGGGATGCGTGATAGGGCTGCAAAAAAGAGTCTCAAACCTTGTTTTTCAGTTTTCTCTCCTTCAAACATTTTTTTCTTAGTTTTTGTCTTGTATTCAATCTTAGGTGACACCCCATGAATTTTCTTGTTCGCTGAATTCATTTCTCGACATTGGATTGATAGGAAGTTTCATTTTATTTGATTGTTGATGCAATTTATCATATTAATTCCGTTGTTGTGATGAATTTCAATATGAGTAGCTAAATTACCTTGCTAGGGATAGGGGATAATTGTAATGGTTCATTTGTCATTATCGTGCTCCTTTCAATTTGTGCGAGTTGCTTGAATATTAGGATTCGTTGATTGTTCACATGCTAGGTAAATGACCTTTAGAACCGAAAAGGGGCGGCTGTTGAACCTAGCCTCGTATGAGGTGAATGCTTTCTTCTAATCCATTTAAACAACTTTTAAAACCAAGATGGGAAGAGTTGTTCGATCTAGGCTCATATAAAATAGGCTTGTTCGTAACTGTATTGCCTATGCAGTAATTGATTCGTTAATTTGCCGTTCATATTTATTCTCTTGTTATGAAAAGTTATTGAGGGTAAATCTCTAGACAAGTAGGCTATTCGAGTCCTTTAATTGAATGATTATTTGCACGGTAATTGTGTTTTGAACCGGAAACGATTATCCCAGACTCCCTAGCTTACTTGTCAGAATTTGGAACTTGTTTGAGTTTTGGAATTTAAGAAATTATATTTCTGGGATCATTACATGATAACTGAAATCAATCAATCTTAATTAGAGTGTTTAAGAATTATTCTCTTTTCTTATGTTTAATATACGTACAAAATAACCCGGCTAACCTTCCTTGTGATATGACCTGATTGAATCTTTCGATTTCACTCCGGTAAAATAACTACAACGCTAACTTATTTAATTTACCAAGGGTGATTCTATTAGGTTGACAAACTCGGTATTTTGGTAAGTGTTGTTGCTTATATGATGTGACGTTAAGATTATTTATGGTCACTATGTCCCGGTCCACAGGGTTGATGATGTCTCCGAAATGAGCTCATGAAGGATTATTATTTCAAGCCCTGCATGCATATTAGTTTCAGACATAATAATAAAGAACTGAGTGGTACTAGTTTTGGATGGACACATTGATTAGTTATATTGCTTGTGATTAAATTAATCAACGATAATATATGCTAAACATGGGGAGGTAAATCGAGCAATTGGTCGGGAGATGAATTAATTGTAATTCGGAGCTAAATGAGAAGTGCAATAATATTACGCCAATAGAATGTTCTATTATTCAAGTAGGAATATAAGGTGTGAACACAAGGTGTGAACACAATGTTTTCTATTCCTACTTGGGAATCCCATATTTTTAGAATCTTCTTAGGGTCTCTGTTGTAACCTATAAATACACCAAGTCCTCTATCCTCCATACACACAATGTTCCCCACACATAAACTCATGGAAGAACAAAATTCTCTCGTGGGAAAATCAGATAAAACCCAGAGGTCTTAGGAGAGAAAATCGAAAGGCTTTGGGAGTTACATCTAGTTGCTCCACCAAGAGGATTCGGAGAAAGTGTAAAGATCAGACAACAAAATATCCCGAGGTTTTGTTTACGAATCCCCGGGAATATATATGAATATATATATGTCTCTGCAATACATCGGATGACCACAAAACTTAAAGAGCACCACCACCATAGGAAGATGCATCGACTGGCATGCCCAGCACCACCAGCCGCAGCCATATGCGCTGAAGCCCTACGAGCCACCGTGCGCGAACTAAGCGCGACCCGCACATGCCCGTGCGCAGACCGCGCATGCAGATAGCAGACTCGCAGTGCCCCGCGCATACAGACTACGTTACCCCACGTCTCCCCAGTGCCCACAGCATGAACCGTGCCCCTCTCGCGCGACTCGCGTCTCTCCATAGCGACCCGCATGTGTCCTAGTAGCCCCGCAGTGCGAGCCTCGGCAATAGCGCGATCAGACCACGCGACCTCAGCCGCCAGTGCACCAACTGTGCGACCATCGCCACTAGCATACCAGTGGAACCCAGGCAAGCCATCCACGCAGCAGACGAGTTGTGGCGAGTCTAGACCACCTCCAACAGGACGAGTGTGGTCCGATAGTAGTCTAGGAAGCTCAAGATGATGCAAGACGTGTTTCTGACACCTAGAAAAGTGATGTGGTGATTGGGATGGACGAGCAACTCAACGAGGCTCAGACGATTTCCATCAACAGAAATTAAGAACGTCTCAGAGTACGGAAAAAATTTTCAACCATAAGTCAAGATCTTAACTATAGATTCTGCTGCGTTAGGATTTATTTTTAATAGATTTGGATCTCTACATTGACGATGTTTTTAATAGAACCCAACAATTGGTATCAGAGCCCAAGCTAATTTTTCTTTGTGCACTATTTAAATTAGAACTTGCGTGACATATGTGAATTAACTGCGTACGAGCACAATGTTGGGATCTATAAGGATCATCGCTAATGTGCAAGTTACAAATCTAAACTACAAAATACCTACTGATATGGGATATTATATGCCTAAAGAATAGACCGGTTTACCACATTGGTCGGGCGAGCTCGATGTCGGGAAAACTGTATTGGTCGAGCGATAATCGACCAAAAGGGAAAGGATCGAGCAGAATAGCAGAACTGGTTGAGGATCGACCTAGCGACAGGGGACTCGGTCAGATCGAACACTTAACAGGTGAAGAGTAATCGAGAGCGTGGCTTGAACGCGAGAAAGCGCGTGGGCTTCGTCAGAAAATCCTAACGGAATGTGCAGAGAATAATCTCCCTCTGCTCAGAGGGACATGTGGCGAGAGTACATTGGTGCAGAGCAATAGTGGCGATAACCACCTCTGACACTTCTGACACACGCACACTGTGTGTGTACGGACGGGCAGGCGCGGTAGGACAGCTTACAAGATCCGGGCAGCTTCTAGGGCAGGTATCTCACTCCTATATATATAGGAGTGAGTCATTTCTTGTAACCTACGATTTATCTATTACATACTTTGGAGAATTGAGTAAAATATATACTGACTTAAGCATCGGAGGCTCTTCACCGGAAAACCCCTCCGGTGTGAGAGTTCTGTGCAGGTGCGCGGTATTTTACCGGCGACGAGGAGAAAGACAAGCCGATTTCAAGCCGATCATAGTGTTTTGCATTACCATTTGGCGCCGTCTATGGGACTTTCGTTCGAAAAGTGGTGTGCTGAGATTACTGAAGCTTGGTAGCTATGGCGGACGGAATTCCTAGGAGAGATTTGCAGGCGTCGCTCGACGAGGCGTGGACGACGACGAGGCCGTTCGGAGCAAGCCTCCCTCCGGGCTTCTCCGGACCTATGCCTACACCAGTGACTCCGATGCTTGTTCCACAAGGTGTGGGGGTCACACCGGTGCAGTTGGAAGCCGATGTGGGCTCAAGCCGAGCTCAGGAGGCCCGTACAGCTCAGGGAGCGACGATCCCAACGCCGTTGCAGCCAGATCTGGCTGTGGCGCCGCAGCAAGGAGCGGTGGTGCAGGGAGCATCACCGCCACAGGTGGAGGAGTAGCGCCTCGGCCAGCAGGTGGTGATGACTAGGCAGGAGATGCAGCAGATGATGGCCAACGCGACGGCACAAGCGGTCCAACAGGTCACCCAAAGCCTTTCTCGAGTGGCTGTTGGGCCGACGATGGTGGATGAGGATGTGTCCAGTTATGGAGGAGATGGAGCTCTGCGAGATCGGGAGGTGGAAAGACTCGCGGAGCAGGTGAGACAGATGCAGGCCAAGATGGATGGTCGCCCTGAGAGGCGTGCTCGAGGACACCCGTTCTCGGAAGAAATCTTGGTTGCACCGTTACCAGCAAATTTCAGGGACATGTGCTCGAAGATAAAAAATCCATCATGACTAAGGCTTAGAGGCTGGATGGTCGCATGTAACGACCACCACTTTGAGGGTGTACATGTGCTCGAAGAAAAAAAATCCATCATGACTAAGGCCGAGAGGCTGGATGGTCGCATGTAACGACCACCCCTTTGAGGGTGGACATGTGCTCGAAGACAAAAAAATCCTTCATGACTAAGGCCGAGAGGCTGGATGGTCACATGTAACGACCACCCCTTTGAGGGTGGACATGTGCTCGAAGGCAAAAAATCCATCATGACTAAGGCCGAGAGGCTGGATGGTTGTATGTAACGACCACCCCTTTGAGGGTGGACATGTGGTCGAAGACAAAAAATCCATCATGACTAAGGCCGACAGGCTGGATGGTCGCATGTAACGACCACCCCTTTGATGGTGGACATGTGCTCGACAACATAAAACCATGATGTTTAATGCCGATTGTTGTAGCAAATTATTTTTATTTTACCGAGCACTGAATCGAATGATTCATTTCCTGGGTCGATCGCTCGAGGAAGGCGGTTTGGAATTTAGAAATGGTATTGATAACACATAAAAGGAAAATAAATCCTAAACATACTAATCAAAAGATTGGGTTGGAAAATTATCAACTAAGAAATAATAAAAAACGATAATCTACCTAAAAATATAAGCGATAAAAAGATAGACAAGCTAGAGTATCGGGAATAATCGCTTCCGGTTCTACACGCGTTTAACGGCAATTAATAACTCGGTTAAATGATTCGATTAACTAACTGATTTAGCGGTTTAACCTCACTAACTCTCGTAATATGAGGATAAACATAAAAGAGCAAATTAACGAAACAATTAACACATAGACAATACGTCTCCGAACATGTCTACTCTAAACGAGTCAAATTCCACCAATTTCTCCCCTCTCGGTTTTGAAATCGATTATCTCTACGACTCCTCCCCTTTTGGTTCTACAAGTCGCAATTCGTAGAATTAACAAACTCTAACTTAACAAATTAATATTTAATCACAAATCAAAGTGTCACTCTTTGATTATATCAACAAATTAACCTAAGTGTCACTCTTAGGTTATAACACTTTATCAGGTATGATTTTATCAATTCATAATTAATACAACTCGTCAAGATTGAGCTATCGTTATGCACATAAACGAGAACGAATCAGAAGATTGACCTATCGTCATGCACATAAACAAGATTGAGCTATCGTCATGCACACTCGTTTATGTGCATGACGATAGCTCAATCTTGACGAGTTTTTTAATTATGAATTGATAAAATCATACTTGATAAAGTGTTATAACCTAAGAGTGACACTTAGGTTAATTTGTTGATATAATCAAAGAGTGACACTTTGATTTGTGATTAAATATTAATTTGTTAAGTTAGAGTTTGTTAATTCTACAAATTGCGACTTGTAGAACCGAAAGGGGAGGAGTCGTAGAGATAATCGATTTCAAAAACGAGAGGGGAGAAATTGGTGGAATTTAGCTCGTTTAGAGTAGACATGTTCGGAGACGTATTGTCTATGTGTTAATTGTTTCGTTAAATTTCTCTTTTATGTTTATCCTCATATTACGAGAGTTAGTGAGCTTAAACCGCTAAATGAGTTAGTTAATCGAACCATTTAACCGAGTTATTAATTGCCGTTAAATGCGTGTAGAACCGGAAGCGATTATTCCCGATACTCTAGCTCGTCTATCTTTTTATCGCTTATATTTTTAGGTAGATTATCGTCTTTTATTATTTCTTAGTTGATAATTTTCTAACCCAATCTTTTGATTAGTATGTTTAGGATTTATTTTCATTTTATGTGTCATCAATACCATTTCTAAATTCCGAACCGCCTTCCTCGAGAGATCGACCCGGGAAACGAATCATTCAATTCGGTGCTCGTTAAAATAAAAATAATTTGCTACAACAAAATGGCGCCGTTGCCGGGGAAGGTTTAGGAATTATTTCGTGCGTCTATTCGTTTATTTTCGTGTTTCGCTTAATTCTTGTGATTTTCTGGTTTTTGTGTTTCTCTTTGTTTCTTGTTTTATTTTCCGAGTAGTAGTAGTATTTTCGGGGTGTTTGTCATTTGCTCTTTTTCGTTAACGGGTGCTCGTAACAAATTTGTTTTTGTATGCGTACTACGAGTAGTCGTGTACTCATTCCGAGCAACAAATCCATCAACGAGGATTTACGAGAATTGTTCGCCAACCTTTCTCTCGAACCATCAAATTCCGACAAGCAAGGCGAGATGGCCCGACACGAAGAAGAGGAAGTAAACAATCCCCCACGATATCTTCTCCGGGACTTAGCCCAACCGGTGATTGGACCGGTGACTTCGTGCATCCGATTGGGACCGGCGGCTTGGAATTACGAGCTCAAGACGATACACTACAACCAACTCCCATCCTTTCACGGCCTTCCCAATGAAGATCCACTCCATTTCATCCGTGAGTTCTACAATGTCCTTCAAACCTTCCCACTCCACGAATTCAATGAGGACCAACTTAAAATGAGGTGCTTCCCCGAGACACTCAAAGACCGAGCTAAGGCTCGGTTTATGACACTTGCTCCCGAATCCCTCACTACTTGGGTGCAAGTGTATTCGAAGTTCATCGGGAGGTATTATTTCCATCAAAAGACTCGAGAGCTCCGATCGCAAATCGTCTCCTTCGCCCAACAGCCACACGAACCACTCCATGAGGCGTGGGAACGCTTCAAAGACCTTCAAAGACAATGCCCACACCACAACTTTCTACCCTGTCTATTGGTGAGCAGCTTCTACTACTCCCTCCACCAAAACCTTCAGTACATGGTGGACAATGCGGCCGGTGGAGACATCGGGGCAAAGACGGCCGAGGAGATGATGAAAAATTTTGAGACGATGAGTGCTAACTCGTCTCAAAAGAGCAGCCGAGGGAAGAAGACGATGGTGAACGAGGTGGCCCCCGGAAAAGACATGATAGCTCACCAAATAGCCGAGCTCACAGAGCAAATGAGGCTTCTCAACGCGAGAAGCGTCCAGCCGGCGCAAACTATGGCGGTGGAAGCTTGCGGAACATGTGGAGTCCACGGGAACCGATCCGAGGTATGCCCGGCGGCCTTCGACCAAGACTTTGGGGAGCAATATGCAGATGCCAACGCCCTCCAAGGGTACCAAAACCGACCGGCCAACCACCCTTACTCGAACACCTATAACCCGGGGTGGAAAAATCACCCCAACTTCTCGTGGTGCAACAACAACAACACCCAACAACCCCGACTGAACTA